TGATGCCATTCTCGATAATATCGACGAAGAATGCCAGCGGCTCATTCAACATCTTCACGTTAGCGCTATGAAAACCGGGAGTCCGAAAGTTACCAAGAGACGTCTGTCTCCAGAAACACTCGAGCCAATACGCCAGCGTGGAGAATCTCACGAGCTGCAGGCAACCGCGAACTAGCGTCCTAACTTACAAAAGAGTGCAAACAAGCGATAAAAGATCTTAAAGAGAGAAGAGGAGCAGTAATAGTCGAAACTGCAGAGGCTGAGAAAAGCATTCGCAATACCCACCGAAGCTTCGCCAATTACAAGAGCAGGACGATTGCACTCCCACACGCAGACGGAACAGTTACAGCGTCCAGAAAGGCAATAGAGAAAATCATTCACGAATGCTACTAAGATCTCTTCGATAGCCACATCCACCTTCCGTCATATGAAATGTGAAATAAAGGAGGATGGATATGCTGTACCACCGGTTCTCCTTCGGAAATCCGACCTGCCATCTCGGTGAAAAATCGAACAGCACCAGGTCCGGACAGGACAAAACCAGAACACCTAAAGAACCTTCCGCCAGTCCTCGCAAACACACTGGCTNATTGCACTCCCACACGCAGACGGAACAGTTACAGCGTCCAGAAAGGCAATAGAGAAAATCATTCACGAATACTACTAAGATCTCTTCGATAGCCACATCCACCTTCCGTCATATGAAATATGAAATAAAGGAGGATGGATATGCTGTACCACCGGTTCTCCTTCCGAAATCCGACCTGCCATCTCGGTGGAAAATCGAACAGCACCAGGTCCGGACAGGACAAAACCAGAACACCTAAAGAACCTTCCGCCAGTCCTCGCAAACACACTGGCTCTGCTCTTTACACGTTACCTGTCCGAATGCAAGGTCCCCACTCAGTGGAAGACCAGCAAGACCGTGTTATTGTTCAAGAAAGGTGACCTACACGAATTGGCAACTATGGCCCAATCTGCCTGTTGCTGTCTATCGTCTACAAACTTTTCACTCGAGTCATCCTAAACAGGATTGACAGAACACTGGACGAATGAGAACCATGTCAACAAGCAGGGTTTCGAAAAGGTTTTAGTACGATGGACCACATCCACACGTTGACAAGGCTCGTTGAAGTATCGCGAAAGTACAAAAGACCGCTCTGTCTCACTTTCATCGATTTACAGAAGGCCGTTAATTCAGTGAGATAGAAGCAGTCATGGAAGCCCTTGATAGTCAAGGAGCTCTACTCAGTACATAAAGAATGTTCGTGAGCTGCACAAAAACTTCACAACCAAGACATCACCATTGTACAACGATATTTACATTGACGTCAAAAGAGGAGTTAAGCAAGGCGATACCATCTCGCCAAAATTATTTACCGCCTCCCTCCAAAACGTCATGCGAACATTGGAATGGGATAATATGGGAATGAAAATCGATGGTCGGCAGTTACCTCATCTTCGCTTTGCTGATGACATCGTCCTTATAACACCAAATATTAGCCAAGTGGAGCGTATTCTTGCCGACTTTGATAGAGCCAGTAGAAAGATTGGTCTTCGCCTAAATCTCACAAAAACGATGTTCACGGATTGATTTCGCATGGCCCATTCACGCTCAACGGAACGAATATCTCCGAATGCTCCAGTTACGTCTATCTAGTTGTAAAAATTAACATGATGAACGACTTAGCTCCAGAGTTGAGGAGAAGGAAAGAGTGGCTTGAGGAGCTTTCAAGGTCTTCGAGGAAGTAGTGAGGTGAACAAAGAGCACCCGATTCCGTGCCAACCTTATCGATTCAGCGGTACTTACCGCTTTAACGTATGCGTCAGAAACCTGGTCGCTGCGTAAGCAGGATGAAAGTCAGCGTAATTGAACGCGCAATCGAAAAGACGATACGATGCTAGGAGTAGCCCCTTTCACACAAGTAAGGGATGGGATCCGACGCTCCGATCTGCGTCAACGATCAAAAATCAAAGATGCCGTTCTGTACGCCAAACAGTCGAAGATAAGGTGGGCCAGACACGTAATGCGTACGAATGACAACCGATGGGCAGGAGCTGTTAGTAACTGGATTCCCCGGGATGTCAAAGGTATTGCAGGAAGACCACAGACCCGATGGTCAGAGTTCTTCATGAAATGCCTAGAAGAAAGGTATGATGCTCGACAAGTTCCTAGAGCGAGCAGAAGCCACTGAGCTACTCTTGCACGCGAAAGGGAAAAATGGAAGATTTACTGGCGCTCGCTCGAGTCACTCCACGATCAACAGGATTACAGGCGACAGGCTACAGGTGAATACGTAACTACGAGGCCATAATTACTTTTATGTGTTTTAATAATGTCTGTGTTGTGAATGTGGATTACAGCAGATTTTAATAAGAAGTACACAGTAGGCGATGAGGGTTCCCTTCCAACAAATGGTGCATCCACTCGAGAGGAATCTAGCATGCCACCTATACTACAGCCAGCTTCCACAACATATTCTGCCAGTAGGCAATCCGCGTTCAGATTTTCGTTAAACGAATTCGCGGACAGCGGAGGGATGGAAGGGTTGGTGCGGACAGAGTGTAACCACTTCGCCACACTCATCCCTCACAAAAGTTATGTGTAATAAGTACTTGATACTGGAACACTTGAATCTCCCGTTTTCACGAATCATGAAGAACCATGCGGACCCCGGCAGAGTTTTCATTTAAGTTTCAAGTCATTGGTTGGTCATGATTCCCTCTTCTTGGAGTATTGAAAGCTGGTTTGGGCCTTTTCCGGGTTGTAAAAGCGGTTTTCAACATTTACTCTTAGCCAAGCCTTCGGATGGAAATATGGAGTTCAGTTTTCATTTCCGAGATGCAATTGGACAAATGAACCTAGGTGTCCATTGCACTTCAAAATTTAAAAGACAATCCAGCCACGATGACCCAACAAACTATGTGTAGCAAAATGATGGAGGATGAATCGTTCGACGTTGATCATTCCGTGAGGAATACGAAACACAGTCGGTTCCATTGGTAGCTAAGTTGAGGTGATTGAGTGTGTATCTGGCCTGTACAATAGCTTGGGATAGCCTACCATGTATCAAGTCGGCTCTGCTATCCTCCCAGACACGTCTGGTACCAATTCTTCGACCTGAAAGGGATGGCAGGACTTCCGAGCCCCAGATGTGGAATCCAAGTAGCGACCGATCCAGTGTACCTTGCACGGTACCTCCAATCACTGCGCAACATGCTACCTTCAATGTGTAATAAAGCTATCAATAATCCAATGATAGCGATTTCTAAGAGCGCTATGTTAGTGCTACATATTAATGAAGTAACAATTTACTGTTTTTCTTCAGTAAGCAAACATGAAGTTGATATCATAGAATTTATTGGTACACAAAATAGCTGAGGTTTCGGCGGTATCGCATTCTTCAGAGCCTGGAAAGGTAAAATTGATATGGAACCTACTCAGCCAAACACTTCCATAGCCATAACAGATAAAACTTAAAACAAGTTTGCATTTGCATAAGAAGCAGCTTCTTTAAAACACCCACTGTTTTACTCGTTGCAAATACTCAAGTTAACCGGTGGAGAGCAGCCGCACAGTCTTAGTCTTACATGGGCGACGAATTAGCTGGCTCAGGTCATAGAATCAGTCTGAGGTATGGCGCTAGGTCACGCGTGATCACTAGACACTCCTCCATGAGTTCACTTTTGGATATTTGAAACTAATCCAAAATGCTTCAAGAGTTTTTCCCGCTGATGCTTTGGATTCTTGTGAGAGAGGATAATGACTTTTACTCTAATATCTTGTCCACTATGTTTTTGCGTCCTTTGTGCGCCTAGTGGATTGTTTGGTTCCAATTTAAATTTACCGGTTAGGTATTCTTTTAAGCCAATGCAAAGTGGTATACCCGTTTTGCCAACGTATTCGTCCCTATATTCATTACAAGAGATTAGGTAAACCGTATCCGAACTCATGCAATCACTACCTCCACCGTTAGGGCATATTACGGTTTTTCGTTGTAGACTGTGGTATAGGCTGTTATGAACCAGCTAGCATCTTAGTGTCCGGTGGTATTTCTATCATTGTTACCAAATTCTCTAGGCCGACTCTTCGTAAGCGACGTTTTATAGCTGCACTTATTTCATTGAAAATAAAGGGTAGGATAGACAGGACTTTATTCTCGCTAGAATTACCGTTTAGGGGTGAGGTTTTTCCTCTACGCCTATCCTGAAGAGCTACAGCTTCGTGACCATTCCAAATGGCTATTTGCCGCTTTCAAGGATTCTTCCTTCTGCTTTATCCTTATGCTTGTAAAGCATGTGAGGCGAATATGTTAGCTAAATGGGAGACCTCCGCGAGTCCGTTTAAAAGAACTTAAACTCGGTGAACTTAAACTGAAAACCAAAATTCGACTACGAGCGCATATGTCACACAGAATCCAAGACATCAGCGCGTAAAACTCTTGAAGCACTTTGGACCAATTCCAAAAATTCAAAAATGAACTGCAAATTGGAGTGTCTTGTGATCACGCGTGACCTCACACCATACATCAGGCTGATTCTATGTCTTGACTCAAGCACATTCCTCGCCCATGTAGGAATAATAAGACTCTGTGTTGTTGCTCTCCATTAAATAACTGAATACCTACAACGCATAAAATGCCAGATGTTAAAAAAGCTGTTTATTATGCGAATGCAAATTTATGTGTTAGGTCTTATTTGCTAAGGTTATGAAAGTATTTGGCTGAGTTAGTCGCATTTCAATTTGACCTTTACGGGCTCTAAAGAAGGCGAAACCACCGAAACCTAAGCTATTTTGTGCGCTAATAAATTTGATAATACCAACCTTGTGTTTGCTCATTGAAGAAAAACAGTGAATTTTCAATAAATGCCGAGGTTAGTAGAAAGTCGGTCTTGGAAATGAAGTAATATTTGTATTGTACAGAACTCTGTTAAGATAATAATGCAACCAAATCATCTTGAGAAAGTGTCTGATTATGGAGCTGAAAGTTTCGGTATCATTATTTTCCAAAGGAATATCCAAACACTGACGTGAGTTGACTATTATCATATTGCCGATCGACGAAGAGTGTTTGACTGGTATCACGTATGAAAGACAGCGTTGTACCGGGATATGGTCGATGTCCCATTGGTGTACAAATTTTGTACAGGTACTGTTCACCGGAAATCATTCCCCATTGATTTGTCGCATGATTGCACAGCATACCAGCATTGGCAAAATATGACTGAAATACTAAGCTAATACCTTTAGTAAAATAAATATTCAAGTAGATCAGTAATAAATTCTTCAGTAATAAATTAAAATAAATTAAAGTAAATAATCAGTAATAAATTCGTGAGAAAAGCATCTCAAATCAACACCAATCACCAGGTTCTATGACCGTGCACGAGCTCGCTTGTGATTGGTTGACGAGAAGTATTCAATACGGTGCGGTAGATGCGACACCTTTTTTCAGTCAAGTGGGTGGTTAACGGATATCAATCCAGGTTCTATGACCGTGCACGAGCTCGCTTGTGATTGGTTGACGAGAAGTATTCAATACGGTGCGGTAGATGCGACACCTTTTTTCAGTCAAGTGGGTGGTTAACGGATATCAATGGCTATCAATAAATTGTCGCAATGTGTTAATTTCACTGAATAGGCTTAGTAAAAATCTACAGAAGCCGCTTCATACAGAATTCATCACTTCAGCGGTTTTCATTTATATCGTTAATTTTTCACTATTTAAAGAACCTCCCAACGGTTTACCGCCTCACCGTGGCGGGAAGGTGTGCCTAGGTGTCGGACTGCGACGTAAAGCGGAGGGATTCACCCCCAGGCAGGGTCTCCCTAGCTGAGAAGGAGTCTGGCGTTTCCACCAGGAAGCCTAGCTAAGCGTGAACCAATACCAGGATCTCCCACCGTCCTGGTATCAAAGGCGTATGGTGGCAAATTTCCCTTTGATCCACAAGGACTGAGACTGCCTGTGGTGGTGAAAACCTGGGGCAGACTTTGACCAGGCTGATCTCGGAATTCCAGGGAACCACAACGGCTGTACTAGCAAATCTCCGAAAAATGGAGACTATGCTGGGGCCCACATGACCAGTGAGGACGGACCATGCAAGTATCAAGTAAGTGTTCAAAAAAAAACAACAGCTGAAGGTAAAATTAAGACGAGTTGACCGTCAAATCTCTTATGCTGTATTCGATCAATCCGTAGAGTGAAAAACTCACGAAATTGTTTGGGTTGTTCTCGAATTGCGTAATATACACATATCCGCTGTTGACTGTGGATCGAATCAGTGTCTGTTTTTCCCATCGTTTACCTTGTGCGATTTCCACTACTTGCGTATCAACTCAAAGCAATCAATAACAGTCGATTATCGATTTGGATAAAGATATGCACTAACCGATATGACTAAGCGTCTCCTTTTGATCGAATGCTCGAATATCGGGATTATAAGTGAAAACATCATCAACTGGGGTAAAAACCTTCAAAATTTTGATTGAATTTTATCGTCTCATATAAGTTCATCAATTAAAAGCTACCGTAATCCTGGCATTGCTATCTTCCATGTAAGCTTTGGCTACCGTATATCGACCACATAAAGCACGCCACTGGAAAAAAGCACCACAAGGAGAATTGAATTTTTCAAAAAATAAGTCTTTGTGTAAAAAAGATAGAAAAATAAAAATAGAGCTACTTGTTGTAAATCACTGATTCGTTCCGTTTCCGACCACAAATCGGCAATAACTCTAGCAAATAGCCCAAAAATTAACCACATCAGCTCATTAACCTTAATTTAAAAATGTCAATAACGCGATCAATAAACTTTTTATTAAAATTTGAAATATACGGCAATGCCCAGATGTATGCACGTTTCGCAAATCATTTGGGGAAGCAGGCAGAGATGCGTCAGTAGTGGAACTTGCTTGCAATGATGAAATAGAACCGGTAGATGTCAGAGTACAGTGAAGGTAATTTTCGAGACGCTCCAACTCAATTTATCACTACACTTAGGCGAAAGTTTCAGAGTCCTAACCGTTATTTTGTGAAATTTTCACTATGATCCCTATACAAAATCAGATGGTATGTATATTGTGGTGTGAGAGGTGCCCTGAAATACACAAGTGGTTGTTGTTTGGAACTCGCGTCGCAGGGTAATCAAACTCTTCATTCCCTCGGAGTTAGGAAACTGGTACCAGATTTATCTGGTGGAATAGGAACACTGACTTAGTATTGTACGTCAGTAGATTCTCGTAGGGCATTCAACAGAGTAGAAATGCATTCAATCTCCTCTATGAAGCTTAATGGTATCGAATGCGCGGCCGCATTTCAAGAGGATTGATTAACGCCGAAAGCTTTATCCTTTTACGTTTTATCCAATCTAGTAATTCCTCGTCTCGTAGAAGGCGAAGAGTTATAGTCGTGTGACCTGGGTGGCGAAATGTGTTTTCATGTCGTCCAAGGTCTTCTAGACGAACACGTCATCCGACATTCGAATCTATCGAGAAACACACAACTAGAAGTGAACCTACACCGCAGTATACTATGGAGAGCTATCCATGGTAATCTTATCGATGGAGATAAGAATAAATTAGACGCCTTATACCAAAACAGAAAAATCTCCGTGTCTATCGTACCACCAATGAGGGACAGTGAGAAAAATTCTGGTCACAGACGAAAGGAAATTTCAATAGCTAGTGCCCAAGTTAGTTAATACTTAACAGGATTAAAGATGATGTTCTCCATACTGCCAATAGTTGAACTCCAACAGCATATGGTCGCTTTTGGTTTGTACTTAACTCCCTACTGTCCTTGAAGGATAAACTCCATGCAAGCTCGACACTAATACGTAAAAGCCTTCCCTTACGGGAAGAAGAACGAGTGCCTCAAATGCGCAATAAAAAGTGAAACTTTACGAATAGTCACCTATCTTCTGTAATTTTAATATTCACTGAAAATTAGGCAATCAATTGCGAAGGAATTCAAAAACGAATCATTTTAACAGACCTCTGACAAAAAGCATTGGTTTGAACGCACATGGTGCGAAAATAAAGGTCATTTTAAACTTCAACTCCATATATTTCAGCTCATTTAAACCCTGTTAATTGCAATAGAAGTCATTAGAATCTACACATCTTTGCCAATCAGAATAAAGTTTTCTTACTCTACTGATAGAGGCGGACTTTGGCCAGGCTGAGCTCAGGATCCTAGGAAACCACAATGGCTCAATCAGTAAGTATCCGAAAAAAACTAAGTCAGTGTTGCTATTCCACCAGATAAATCTGGTACCAGTTTCCTAACTCCGAGGGAATGAAGAGTTTGATTACCCTGCGACGCGAGTTCCAAACAACAACCATTGAAGACGGACTGTCCGAGTATCCAAGTAAATATTCTACTAATATTAAATGCTTCTCCAACGGGTCAACAAATCTTTCATTACTCCATTTAAAGAGCAATTACCGCATGTTGTAGAAAAACTAGCTTCATCTCGAATGTTTTAAGAAGAACATAACAACTCCGAATTGAAACCACGAAATAAATGGAAAATGAGAAAGGTATAGAGATAAACGACTTATTTTCTCAATTTCCTAATATCTCGCTTTATTCTTCTTCTTCTTTTATTTGCATGACCCATGATCACACATCGCGTGGATCATAGCAGTTTCTATCCATTTTCTGAAGTCCTCTATGAACGGTCATTGGATTGGCGACTGGATTCGGCTACAGAATGGGAACTGTCCTCTTCATGATTTTTCTCAACACTGGTCGAGTTAACTCTCCTTTGAATACAATTATAGGGCTTTCCCAGGTCTTCGCCAATGGCGGTTAGGTAGTCGGCGGCATTTACTTACCCGGATACTTGGATGGTCCATCTTCATCAGTTGTGTGGACCCCATCACATTCGCAATTGATTTCTTTCACTCGCAATCGCCCCTCCATGGTGGTGGTTTTATTCGAGCATGGTGGCGTATGCGAGTCTCATATCGCGATCTGTAAAATAACTGCAGCTGCGGGTACAGTTGATTAACTTTGTTTACGAACACGTCCGCACAACGTGTAGGTGGTCGTCCAAAAGGACGTTTGCATTCTCTTGGAGTCCGCTCTACAGTTCTTTTCGTCCATCTGCCATCTGTTCTTCTCATTATGTGACCGGCCCACCTACGTTTCGCTGTCGATGTAAATTTTCCTGGATCTCGAAGATGTGATAGATTTCGAAGGTCAGAGCTTCGCATTCCGGCTACATATTGAGAGTGCCAGTTATATTTCAGAATACATCGCTCAAGCACTCTGTGAGGAGTGCAAAATATTTTTGACGTGGTTGAAGTACCAACCTACGTCTCTGTAGCAAAACAGAACGCTAGGAGGACCGTTGAATCGAAAAGGTGAGCGCGGGGATTTTCGGGCCCTTCGTTTGGTTGGTGGCTTCTTTGAAAAGCTCGAATGCGGCCTAAGCTGCTCTACGTCTTCTACTTAGTTCCTCCTTCATGTTGTTTTCCATGTTCATTGATTGCCCAAGGTATACGTACGAGATGGTCTTTGCAATCAGAGAGTCATCCAGTTTAACTTGTTCGCCTTCGCACCATAGGTTTTTCATGAACTGGGTCTTCTTCCAATTTATGTGTAGTCGGATCTTTTTTCCGCTTCGTTGAGCTCGTTGATCATCGTTTCTGCTTCGCTGGTACTTCTTGAGAAGATGACGATGTTGTCGGCGAAACGGAGATTTCATGAGGACACTCTATCAATACGTATGCCTTTTTCATCCCAATCGAGTGACTTCATTATCCACTGCGGTGCGGCACTAAACAGCTTTGGCGATATCGTGTCGCCCAGTCGAACCCCTTTTCCTATCGGTATGGTAAGAGGTCGATGGAAAAGCTGTGTTTTTGCAGTGCAGTTCCGATAACAGTCGGACAGAGTCCTTATGTAGGACGTGTCCACTCCTTGGTCGACGAGCACTGATAGGGTTGCATTCGTTTCGACACTGTCAAATGCTTTTTAATATTCGACTTAGGTTAGGACTAGAGGAAAGTGGTATTCCCAAGAAACTTCGATGACCCTGTTCACAGTTTGGATATGGTCCATTCAGCGAAATCCTTCTAGAAATCCTGGTGGCTCGATTGGTTGCGCCGGCCTCATCCAATGTCCTTGATATGCGCGAGAGAATAATCTTCGTGAAAACCTTGTAGAGTACACTTAACAAGCATATGGGACGATAGTTACGAAGATTCCTTCAGTCACCCTTCTTGGACAGGATTACCGTGCGCAACGTCCCCTATGGGTTTGGGATTTTTTCTTTTTGAAGGTGGGATGTCATATGGTTTACGACAAGTACATGTTAATTGTGGCTTTCAGCTCTAAGGAAGTCGGCGGTAATATTATCGGGTCCTGGAGTTGTGTCTCTTTTCATGTGTTCTATCGCAACTCGAACCTCCGACGGAAGAATTCCAGGTGGTTTTTCACCAGCGGGTGATATTAAGGCCCAGCACGGGGGTTGTGGAACGAAAAAGTTGATTCAAAACGTTTAAAAAATGAGTTATCGCCCATGTATTACTCTGTGCGGCTGCTATCCATCAACTAACTTAAGTACTTACAACAAATAAACGGCTCTGAAGAAGGCGAAACCGCTGAAACGTCAGCTATTGTATCCTAATAAATCCTATAATAACAACCTCGTTTCTGCTTATTGAAGAAAAACATCAAAACGTTTCCGTTATTAACTCCATATCATGGTGGAAAGTTTTAACGATTAGATCTTCGTTCATCAGAGCTGACAGCGGTACACTATAGTCGCACAAGTCTTGATCACATCTTTTCAGACTGCTTTTTTTCTCTGCTGCTTCCCGTACATTCTTTTGCCTGCACCGATGTAGGTCTTCCTGCAAAGCTCTTCTGCAGTTAGCATTTATTACTAGTCATGTTAAATGTGTTGCAGTAGGAACAAGCTTCAGCTTCCTTCTCTTTTCGAGCAACTCCTTAGTAGTAGTGGAAATGGGATCCGATCTTCTTGCTTGAGGAACTGAGGCGAGTTCGGCACAGTTTTTCAGTCCTTCGACAAGCAGCTCGTAATCTTCAGTTAGGTCTTCTTTAACTTTCGGTTAGGGTTTCGTATAGAATGTTCTCGTTGTATACAGTTAGACTTTTTCCTCGTGATCGATGACATGAATTCTTTTCCAGGTTGCGGCTGAATCGAATCTTCGTGCGAAGAAGGCGGTGATCGGAACCAGTTCACAGTATGACGGGACTACCGATGTGTCAAGTCGGCACCATCTTCTGTTTGTCAGAATATGATCGATCTCCGCATGAGTCACGCCGTTGGGAGACTCCCATGTCCAGCGGCAGCCTTCTTTGTTCTGGAAAAACGAGTTCCCATGGAAAAGACGTGCTGCGGACAGGAGTCCTGCGAGACGGTCTCCGTTACCATTCTAGTTCTCCTATTCCTAATTTCCCTACTCTGCACGAATGAAATCTTCAATAACGAATTTATAGGAAGACTTTTCGTTGTGGATCACTTCATTCAACTAGTTGTAAAATAGAACGCGTTCAGCTTGCTCTTATTAGTTGCATTGGTTGGTGAGTAGCAGCTGATGATACTGGCCATTCTTTGACGCGGAGGTCGGACACAAAAATTGGCCAAGCGCTGTGATAGAATTTCGTACGAACTGACTAACTAGATGGGAAATAGATGGATGTTGATAAAGCTAGAGGGTTCGACATTTTGTAACGGGAATTTGCCTCTCAAACGACAAATGTGTCGTCATCTAATTGATGAATGTCGGTACTGTTACTACCGTTTTTTGTCTTTTGCAGAGCGATTACTTCGAACTTAATGCGACTAGAAGCCTCAAGAAGAGCATAAATGTCAACGTCTGAAGAAACTGTTCTGGTGTTGTTTTCTCCTCTCCCAATGACATATTACCGAGTGTCTCACCGCACAACGTCGTGGACGGGAGTGCCCAGTGTGCGGAGAACTGAGGCCGAGGATTTACTGGCCTAATCATTGTGGTTAGCTTGAACTCCTGAGGTCAGCCTGGCCGAACCCTTCCTCAGGTCATTACCAAGGCGTCAGTCGCCACCCTTGAGGATCACAAAGAGATTTTCCACCGTGCGACTATACAGTTATACACTAGGACGATGACGATTCCTGCTAATAGTTTACTCTTAGGATCATGACACCCAGAAACTGCTCCCAGACACGATGAGGCGGTAAACCTTTGGAGGGCGGGTTATGTAATAAAAATAATGCGATAAAATATCGATCAGGAATGATAGCCATTGCAAAACATTGGCTTAAATTTCAAACTTTCCACAACAGTTTTACAACGGCTCGATTGGATTGAGGAATCCAAAAAGATACATCGTCTTAACTTTGAACGAAATAACGTTTATTGGTTAAAAAACAATCACTGCTGTCCAGTGCTGTCCAGTGCAGCACAGAACGGTGTGGGGTAGCGAAGGTGACCGAACCATTGTCCACGCAAAAGTGTCAGCTGTCGAAATGGGGCGGAATTTAATCGTTGATCAGGATCACTTAAAGCTAACCAACATAAATGTGATTCACTCTGATAGATTTGCAAAAGCTGCTAACCTAAAACCCTAAGTTAAAAGTATTTTTGCTGGTTTTACTGATTTTTCGACTTCTGTAAAAGTAAATCAATGTTTGGGCGGAACTCCCGTGATGGTAACAACAATGACGTCACTTTACTTAGTTGAATACTTGACACGTGAATGACCCGTCTCAGTAGTTGTGCGGGCCCCGGCATAATCTCCATTTTCCGAAAATTTCCTGGTTAGGCCATTGTGGTTCCCTGGAATCCTGGAATTCCGAGATCAGCCTGGTCAAAGTCTGTCCCAGGTCCACCACAGGCAGTCGAAACCCTTGTGAAACACAGGAAGATTTGCCATCGTGCGACTTTGATACCAGGACGGTGATAGATCCTGGTATTGGTTTACTCTTAGCTAGGCTTCCTAATGGAAACACCGGACTCCTCACATTGTGGGACCCCGCCAGGGGATGAATTCATCTACCGCATATCGCAGCCCGACACCCTGAAACACCTCCCAGCCACGATGAGGCGGTAAACCGTAGGGAGGACGTCAACTTTAAACAGGAAAATTACACCACTTGAACTCTGATGTTAAAGCTATTAAAATGGTATGGAATATGATAGTTATGGGCAACCGATGGAAAGAAAGAGAAATGCTAATACGGACGAAACTATCAATTAGATTTAGGATTAGAAAAGTTTACTGTTTCCAACCTTAGTCATTAAACGTTATGACACTACCATTTTAGCGAAGTGCAATGCCCTTAGATCGATCTAGCCTCAAATTCCATTCCTCATTGAGACAAAGGAATTAAAAATTAACAAGGAAAATGACTTAGCGAACGACGCATAATGAATACTATTGTAACCCAAGTGCTATTCAAAAGAATCGACTTTTTGATCTGAGCCCTAAAATTGGAACATTGTTGGTTATCATATTGTTTTTGTTTTCTCATTCTTTGAATATACCAACTACAAATGGATTTGCCTTTTACTTAAGTGACAGAAAAATCTTGGCCGGTCAAATTCAAAGCAGCTAATAAATATTTCGATAAAGAACAATTCTGTTACTGAGTAGAAGCAGTACTCAGCAAAGTGGCGATCGATATGCATAAATTGCTCATCAGATGACGACGTGCAGTATAGAGGATGTAATTAAGGGATTTTTTACCTAACTGAAAAACAAATCCACCTATTCCAGAGCGGTCAGCGATTCTTATTCATCGGCTATGTGTGATTCCACACACATCAGATTTGAGAGTTCATTCCGAACAGAAAACAGTATTGATTTCTGAGAAAAACCAAAACGGAAGAATGCACAACTAGGAAAAGCCTGTCATTAAAGGAAGGCCCATAGTAAAATTTAACCTGCATTCTTACTGACACAACTCTTAATATTATTATCACTCATTATTATTACCATTGGTTATTAGTAGATTCGATATAGTTTCTGAAAGAAGGGCGCGTGTGGAGCATTGGTCGGAGGCGCTCTGCAATACACGCATGGAATCGATCCCCGCGCACACGGCCCACCAAGCTTTCCATCCCTCCGGGATCGGCATATTGATACCAGAATTGTTTGGGAGGATAGCAGCACTGGCTCGATACATAGGTAGGTTACCGCAAGTGATTGTAAATGCCAGATGTGCATTCAATCACCTCCAGACGATGCTTAATGAAGTCGAATCCATGGCGCATCCCTCAGGGATTGATTAGCGCAGAGAGCTTTATCCTTTTATTTTTTATTCTCAAAGATGAGAATGGAGAATGTGGTAGAGATAGCACCACTCGTGAAGTCGGTAGACCCAAATATCCGAATATCCAAATAGGTTGTTGATTAGTAGTAAAACTATATAAAAGCACAATTTAACGTATTATTTACTGCCTACTCTTTTTAACGGCAGGGTATACATTGTGAAATATAACTTCAATGATGCAATGATGATGCGGGATATTTGCAAAACTCCGGACCGGAGGTGTATGCGATTGGGAACGAACGCGAAAGGCGGGAACCCGAAAGACAGGCGAAACGAAGGACCCGCGTAGTGTGGTGGTGAACGCGCTACTCCCCGGAAAGGACAATTCAGTATCATTGAAGTTATATATAGAAGCAGTACTAATAATCACTTCAGAAAAACAGAACTCGTAATCCTACACTATTTTATTAAGTTGATCACTGGGAGATAACTGGGAGAAATTTGCTATTCATCAGACACAGTAAACGACTAAAAAATCGCTAAAAATTCGATTATAGGCCAAAATCTTCAAAGTATGAAGAGAAATATATCACAGTTGTAAATCTTTGTCACAATTACAACCACTAACGAAATAATCAAGAAAAATTCTAAAGGACAAAAGATGAAGCGTTCGGGGTTGGTGATTCTCGAAGTGGCTCGACTCCATTTGTAGCATCGTAGAGATGAGTGATTATATTTTACGACTACGACTATAAAACGACTTTCGGTAGCCCATTGATATATCAAGTCAGTGATGCTACTCTCTCAGACAATTCTGGTACCGATTTGCCAATTCTGGAAGGATAAAAGATCTAGCGCGCCCGGGGCGTGGCTTCGAACCAACGACCGCACTTGCACTGCAGGACCTCTTTACGTACTCTGCTACTTACTTTCAAAAGACGTTATATCAAGTGTAATTCCGTTAATAAAGAAATAACTTAAGCGGAAACCATTAAAATCTCCCTTTGGCCATGGCGCTCTACAGAGCAGTGACATCAACTCACTCAAAAGAACACCACTCTTTCGATTCAATGCCATCCTCAACACACACGCAACGCCGCCTAATTTCGTTTTTATTGTGAAGATGGAAGACGCCCAATGTTTCACTGTGCTCCCAGCAGCCGCGGTAATTCCAGCTCCACTAGTGTAAATCGTCATTGCTGCGGTTAAAAAGCTCGTAGGGACAGCCTGGAAATTTTTACGTAGACCCGCCCTTTTAGGTGATTTAGGTGATTTCCATCATATAGATCGGTTTCTCTCTGTGCTTCGAAGAAATATGAGCGTTTCTCTTATCCTCTATATGCACCATATTTTTTTATACACATTCCCATGCTTTTTTCTCCCATACGCTTCTTGTGTAAACGGATAAAGGATAAAGCTCTCAGCGTTTATCTATCCCTGAGTGATGCGCCATGCATTCGACTTCACTAAGTATCGTTTGGAGGCGACTGAATGGATATCTGGACTTTACAATGACCCTCTGTGGCCTACCAGTGTTGCGAGCCAGTGCTGCTATCCTTCCCCTAAGTCTAGTATCAGACTACTGACCTTATTTAATGAAGTTATACAAGTACTGCAAGGAATATAACGATATTTACCTCGTGGCTTTGGCATCCATTTATTCCATACCATATACAAAGGTCATGATTAATATTCAAAACTAGAGAACAACGAATTGCCTATTAAAAATGCTGCTGCGCACTGAATGCAATGCCAGCTTTTCGAGGTAGAGGTATTTCTGCTTAAAAAGACATCTTTCCATGGACGTCGTCCACTACAACGTTTGTGTTCTATGAGCTATCACTAACTACAGGAAGTGTGGCGGAAACTTCTGAGCACCGAAATAAAAACTTCTGAGCACGGGAAAAAAATTGACATCTAGAGGTGTCATGCTGTCCACTCCGGCAAGTTCGTTATGAAACCTATAGGTGTTACTCGTCGCGAAAGTGTTAATATTTTTGACAGAAGGATAGTCAAAAAGTGGTTTACTATGTACTGCCTCGAGATGGTTTTACGCCTAACTGGGTTTCCTGATAGGAATGTGGAATTCCATCTCAGAAAATCTCTTCAAAAATCCCATAAACAAAGCCGTTAAAGTCGTCGAAAGCTTCCCGTATGTGTGTGGAAGAAAAAGCTTGATGGAGTGTTTGCCGTAATTCAGGAATGAAAATCAGAAGAAAAAGTGAAGAAAGAAGATGTTTCACTTAGAAATGATTTCATCTCTCACATAGGAAATCGAGAACTAGAAAAAAGAACTTTCTGTCCATGCTGCTAGCACAAGTGAAGTACGTAGGATTTTGCAGCTCAGACAACAAATACGATAAGTGGAGATGACCGAACAATGACGGCGATGAGTCAAACAAGAGGAATGTCGAGTGCTGGATTCGACGGACATCGGAACACGCACAATGCCGTAACCTTTAACGGAAACGACCGAAAATCGAGTGATCCTCGAACATTCACAGTGAGCTTCAGCTTAATCCGAACTTCAAGTAATTCATAGAAGAATGGAAAATCTGAATCATAGAGAAACGGGGCCTTTTGCTGATGATGTGAGAAGACATCTACTACGTCAACAATCATTCTTTTAGCGAAGCTCTTGAAATGAACAACGTGGCTTTTGAACAGTACGCCTGATGCTCCTAGTGATGCCCGGCGTCAGGATGAATGAGGAATTCAGTTTCGTCAACGTCGGCTCACTTCTATGAATGGGGTGACTAGGTCTGTTTGCCTTAAAAAAGAACGAAAACAAAAACCTGAAACAGAAATCGAACGAAGAAAATTTGTGAAAAATATATGGAAGATTAAATATCTAACGAAGCAACCATTTCTATCTATTGATTTACTCAATTAAGGCATGAAGTACACTTTATACGGATTGATTATTATATGTCACATAGTTTTACGAACACCTTAATAACACAAGAAATTCTTTGGAATCCATTAAAACTTCTATTAAACTGGTTTTTGTTGGCTTAGCAGGATATCATTCCTCGGAATCCCATGGCGTCCCCACGTTACCATTGCTGTCCATTCGTAGATCATTGTGGATGAAGGAGATCCACTACCTTAAGGCTAAGTTTCTTCTACCACCGAATCAGTTCCTGGCATTTTATTACCCCAAAATTTCTGGATAGAAGGAAATGTCGAATTTCTTCTTAGTTAAGTTGAACCGACTGTCGTGACGAACGGAGGATTGAACCTCGCCGTAGTACACAACCCAGGATCACCATGATAAAACGATGAGGTTTGTATTGACCTAATACAGTTGTAGAACTCCCACGACCGACTTTCTATTAACCTTGGCATTGATCGAACAATTCTTTACATTCTTGTTTAGCAAATGCGAGGTGTTATTATTTCTTTACTTACGTACAAGCTGATGTTTCGGCGGATTTCGCCTTCCTCAGAGTCTGGAAAAGTCAAGTTAACTGCAACCTACCAGGCCAAACACCTCCATAGGCAAACAGAGAAAATGCTAAACAATAATAGAAATTAAAACAATAGACCATAGTATCAGGAAATATATCGAGCATTTTGGGAAGGTAGTAATTCGTAAGATCTGGGGGAATATTCGAAATTCTGAGCACTAACAGTAGACCCTTTCTATCCGATTACTCTATCTGACAGCGTTCAGACAATTTCTTTCTTAAAAAAGTATTTTCACTACGTTCTAGGGCAACTGCAATTAAATGTTCATAGAAAAAAAATATTTTTTCTTTCACAATATTCGATTGACAACACCATCTAACTCAACGAATACAATGAAATCAAAAAGGTTCTAGAAGAGGTTAGCTAGTCACAAAATGATAGCTAAAGAGCACCGCTATAAGCTCAGCGTCCAGATGGTGACGACGAATGACCAGGTGAAATGTATTAGTCAGGAAGCGATCGATAACCACTCCGCTGCCCCTCAGAAGGCAAACAAGGGGACGATGCAGATACAGCACACCACCTAGCCGGCCAGCAAACCAGCCAGCCGCCCGGCCCGAACAACCCCCAGTAGAGCCCAGAACAAACCCAAGCCAACAGGTAAAGATAGGTGGCGCAATAGGGTTTCAACACAGCTGTGATAAATATCGAACATGATTGAACTAGCCTATTAACCCACAGCCATTAATCCAGTAATTCTGTCTGCAAAGCTAATCCGTTACAGGATGTTCTCAGGTATCGAACTATGATGTATAACTCTAAGTTCATCCACAAAGTAAAGTTTAACAGACTATGGAGGTCGGGACTTGCAACTGGTAGCCAAACTAAGAGTAGGCCCACGGCATATCCTGACTCGCAATCTGTCGATTCATGAAAACGTTCCCCATCAAAGTATTAAAAATAAGGGTCCTATCACCTGAAGTGTGATATGTTCGGACTAGTATTCTACCAGAGTTAGAGCATTGGTGTTAGAAGGAGGTAGGATACTTTGTTTGTCCTGTCCTGCCAATAGGAACTTTACAAGAATCCTGGTCATCTTGCATGCTTCCACTCTACCGCTGTGATTTGAAATATGTACACCGTAAAACTTAGAAATCAAACTAACAGTCATGAATCGACATTTTACCTAACGCTCGATTACTCATGCGACTATTGGTACTACAAGTAAACGATTCATTCCCAATTACTACCGTCGCTACTGACCGACTATGGAGGTCGTTAGGAGATTTATCAGTCAAAACTGTGTTAAAAGTTAGACTGCAAATGACTAAACCACAAACAAACCAAGATAGAAACGAAATTGTGGATGAGCATGGTCTCCAACCTTATCTCGCTTGTCCAGAATCATACAGTTTTGTGCCTTTTAACTGTAAGAACGAAACCTATCCTATTATGAACTGTAGGATGATACAGACAGATTGATTCTGCCCATGAGATCAACTTTCTGTACAAGGACCGGACATTCGTGGACAGAAAAGTCAATTAGTAGTAGTCTAATAGTGGATCTGTAATAAATATTAATAGCACTGCCAGCAGCACTGCTGGTAAACATAAAATCAGTGAGTAGTGAGTTCTCCTACAAAGTAAGAGCACTGAATCCGTCCATATCACAGCGATGCAATCGTCGACTGGAAGAATAGCCAACCAAGTGGCTAAGAATAAGAAAGTAGCGAAATAAAGCACGACCTCGAAACAAAGGCAAACATTACAGCCCAACTACACACCACGAGAAGCGGGTCGAACAAACACAGAAGTTCAACGTAACTCCGGAAGAGGGTGGCACACACAAACAGGCGAGATTCTCCAGCAGGCTCGCGAAAATATTACTGATAGTCCGCCAATTCTGACATCACACGGTAGTTGACTTTCTCAAAGGATATCAGTGAGTCCCACGATCGACTTTCTTTTAACCTCGGCATTGATTGATAATTCGATGTTCATCTTGAATAAGCAGACACGAGGTTGTTATTATAGGATTTATTAGGATACAATAGCTGACGTTTCGGCGGTTTTGCCTTCTTCAGAGTCTGGAAAGTTGATTGCAAATTGAGATACGATCCACCCAGCCAAACACTTCCATGACCCTAGCAGATAAAACCTAACAGATAAATTTGTATTCGCATAAGAAACAGCTTCATTTAAACACCTACCGTTTATCGGTTGCAAGTATCTAAGTCAGTTGATGGATAGCAGCCGCCCAGAGTAATACATGGGCGATAACTGTGTCTGCGTCAGGTCATTGGATTAGCCTAAGGTATGGCGCCAGGTGACCCGTGATGACAAGACACTCCTCCGTACGGTTCATTTTTGAATTCTTGGAATTGATCCAAAACGCTTCAAGAGTTTTACGCGCTGATGTTTTTGATTCGTGCGTGAGGATAGTGACTCCTATTTCAAAACCTTCTCCGTTGTGTTTTTTTTTTCTTGAGTTATCGTTCATGTATTACTCTGTACAGCTGCTATCCACCAACTAACTGAAAGCTTACAACGAATAAATGGTAGGTGTTTAAATGAGGTTGTTTCTTATGCGAATAGAAATTTATTTGTTAATCTTTATCTACTAGGGTTATGAAAGTGTTTGGCTGAGTAGATCACATCTCAATTTGACCTTTCCAGGCTCTGAAGAAAGGAAAAAAACTAAAGCCAATGGTAATCATGGATAACGCGTTCGACGTTGATCAATCCCTTAGAGGTACGCCATGCGTTCAACTCCACCAACTTGTATTGTTAGCAAGTGATTTCATGCATACTTGATCTAAACAATGCCTTGCGGCATACCAGACTTGTACTAGGATAAAAACAACGGCTTGATACATCCCCAAGTTTTCGCGAACGTGACTGCATACATCAGATTTACACTCAACCACCTCAATGACGTCTAACGAAGTGAAATGCGTGGTGCATCTCTAAGATAAAGATCAACGTCCAAGACTTTATCCTTCGTGACTGTGATAAAATTAAACTTTGGCTTTTGAAAGCTTCACCTATATCACCTATAGTTCCGTTAATCGTCGAGCGACTCGCGTTGGCGCCAGTAAATCTTCCATTTTCCCTGTTGCGTGCAAGAGTAGCCCAGTGGGTTCTGCTCGCTCTAGAGACTTGCCGAGCATCATATCTTTCTTCTAGGCATTTCATGAAGAACTTTGACCATCGGCTCGGTGGTCTTCCTGCAGTACATTTGACATCCCGGGTAATCCAATTACTAACGGCTTCCGCCCATCGGTTGTCATTCGTACGCATTACGTGTCTGGCCCACCTTATCTTCGACTGTTTGGCGTACAGAACGGCATCTTTGATTTTTGATCGTTGACGCAGATCGGAGCGTCGGATCCCATCCCTTACTTGTGTGAAAGGGGCTACTCCTAGCATCGTATCGTCTTTTCGATTGCGCGTTCAATTACGCTGACTTTCATCCTGCTTACGCAGCGACCAGGTTTCTGACGCATACGTTAAAGCGGTAAGTACCGCTGAATCGATAAGGTTGGCACGGAATCGGGTGCTCTTTGTTCTCCTCACTACTTCCTCGAAGACCTTGAAAGCTCCTCAAGCCACTCTTTCCTTCTGCTCAACTCTGGAGCTAAGTCGTTCATCATGTTGATTTTTACAACTAGATAGGCGTAACTGGAGCATTCGGAGATATTCGTTCCGTTGAGCGTGAATGGGGCATAAGAAACCATTTTCTTCCTCATGAACATCGTCTTTGTGAGATTTAGTCGAAGACCGATCTTTCCACAGGATTTATCAAAGTCGGCAAGCATTCTTTCCGCTTGGCTATTGCTTGGTACTCCCATATTATCCTATTCCAATGTTCGCATGACGTTCTCGAGGGTGGCGATATAATTTTAGCGAGATGGTATCGCCCTATCTCACCGCTCTTTTGACGTCGAAGTCGTCGTAGAATGGTGATATCTAGGTTGTTAAGTTTTTGTACAGATCACGAAGAATCTTTATGTACTAAGTAAAGACTCCTTGACTATCAAAGACTTCCATGACTGCTTCTATCTCAATTGAGCCAAAGGCCTTCTTTAAACCAATGAAAGTGAGACAAAGCCGTCTTTTGTACTCTCGCGATACTTCAATGAGCCCTGTTATCGTGTAAATGTGGTCCATCGTACTAACTCCTTTCCGAAACCTTGTTTGCCCACATGGTTGTCTATCGTCCTGTTTAGGATGACTCGAGTGAAAAGTTTGTAGACGACAGACAGCAAGCGGATTGGGCAATAGTTGCCGATATCATGTAGGTCACCCTTCTTGAACAATAACACGGTCCTGCTGGTCTTCCACTAAGTAGGGACCTTGCATTCAGACAGGTAACGTATAAAGAGCAGAGCCCGTGTGTTTATGAGGACTGGCGGAAGGTTCTTCAGGTGTTATGATCTTATCCTGTTCGGACCTGGTGCTGTTCGATTTTTCACCGACGAAATAGTATGTCGGATTTCGGAAGGGAGAACCGGTGGTAAGATATATCCATCTTCTTTTATTTCATATGAGGGAAGGAGAACGTGTCTATTGAAGTTATCTGAGTAGTATTCGTGAATGATTTTCTCCACTGGTTTTCTGGACGCCGGAACTGCTCCATCTGGGCGTCGGAGTGCGATCACCTTGGCCTTGTAATCGGCGATGCTTCGGTAGGCTTTGCGAATGCTTTTCCCAGCCTCTGCAGCTTCGACCACTACTGCTGCTCTTCTCTCTTTAAGATCTTTTATCGCTTGTTTGCACTCTTTTGTAAGTTAGGACGTTTGTTCGCGGTTGCCTGCAGCTCGTGAGATTCCACGCTGGCGTATCAGCTCGAGTGTTTCTGGAGACAGACGTCTCTTGGTAACTTTCGGACTCCCGGTTTTCATAGCGCTAACGTGAAAATGTTGAATGAGCCGTTCGCATTCTTCGTCAATATTATCGAGGATGGCATCATCACAACAGCCGACTAATGAATTGTCCCAGTTCACGGTGGCTTTGGGACTTCGTTTCTTCGACATCGGTAAGGCAAAATCTTCTGTTTACTATGATGTGGTCTATTTCGTTATGGTCTCCATTGGGAGACTCCAACGTCCAGCGTTGAGGATGGAGCTTCCGGAATTGCGAGTTACCGTGGATGGTTTTGGTCGCCATGATAAACTCAGATAGCCGTCCACCGTGTTCGCTCCATTCTAATCCGTGGATGCCAATGTGACGTTCTTCTTGGTCCAATGTTGGTGTTGAAATCTCGAATGATGGCTTTGATGAATGTATGGTTTTCTCTGTAGAACTTCTCCAAGTCCATATAGAACGCTTCGACTTCTTCTTCGTCATTGTTTGATGTCGGCGCGTAAACGACGAAGATTGTCACAGGCGGTATTGATCCACATTTTTTTAATCGTAAACGTCCGATTCGGGTAGTTAGCTGTTCGAATGAATCGATGTTCATGGACAAACTAGTGTTGATGAGAACGCCGACGCCACTGACTCCTTTACTGTCGGATGTTCCGAGGAACAGTTCTTCTTTGGTGTCATAGACGGCGTTGAAAGGCCAGCGTCTTCTCGTTTTGGCCTGGCTGATGACGTCGTACTTTATCCTTTTTGTTTGCGTGAGCAAGTCTTCTATCGAGGACTAGGATGCAAGTGTGCGTGCATTGTAGGTAGAGATCGTCACCTTAGTTCGTTGTGATTTAAGCAGCTCAGAATGGCCCTGAGATCTTAGCAACCTCTCTGTACTCGTCCTAGCCAACGGTGACGAATCGGGGGCTCTTTCAGGGTCAGCAGAATGATGCCCTTTCTTCTTACTGTGTTTAGAATTTCGATACCTACGTATAGCTTGCTGGTCTCTGGACTTGAGAGCAGGGTATACTCACGGGTAGCTTGCCAGGCTTTCTCAGAGTGGACGTACAGCTTATTTGCTGGAGGCGACGCCTAACCGTCTCCCATGTACTTCCTAGTCACCTGATTGCAGGCTTTTGGCCGAATTGACTCGTAGAAAACTATCCCCACAAGCGAGAACGCATTCACACCCACATACATAAATACGCCTCGCAACTACAGAAAGTATGTGCCAAATCGGCGCAGCAAAAAAAGGGAGTCCACCCCTTGGGCCCACCTGCGTCTCAGAGAACCAAAGGCCGCTTTTGGTAGGTGATTAACCACTATCAGCCACCTGGGGAGGCACCATGTTGCCTTGGGACTAACAGGCTCGAGATCCCTCATAAAAGGGAAGGATGCTATGCTACGTAAAGAATTTGCATCTTTCAAAGCTTAATATCAGTAATCATACGACATCAACACTTCAACGTAGAAAGTTACCCAAAACAAAAACAAAGGGATGACAACCGCGACTATTCTGCTACTATCATATGAAGTGATCCTGTCCACCTTGCTATCAAAGCCCATTATTCGAGAAAAATTGGGTCTATAAAAATTTCTAATGTAGATATTTCCTGAATGTACATCATGCCGTTCATGATAAAAGATGCAATGAACTGAACATCACTAGAATGACTTCCCACAGTTTGCTCATTAAATGAGCTTCGTGTATCTCTCATGTTCAATTTTGTATGACAAGCAAAAAGCTCATAAAAAATGTCTCCGCTTCTCTCGAACTAACAAAACAAAAACTAATATTTATCTAAATGGACAGCTAATAAGTTTAGATATCAATGTCAGATAGTCTACTGGTTTGCTTTCCTCAGCTGATACTCGACAACGATGAATGGCGCCCAGAAACCTGACGCCAGGAAGATGATTGCTTTGATTCCAAACAGCCATTTGTTGGAGACGTCGAATGGAGTTCGCTAGAAAAAATCATATACGTTTCAAAAAGTGGCAATGTGCGAAGTTAGATCTATGTTTTATCGACTTCATATCTTTAATGACCACATAGCTTTATTATGGAGAAGTATTTCTTCACATCATTTGGACTTGCCAAATCTTTTTATTTTAGAATAAACGACCACGGCTAAATAAAATGCGAATTCCGTCAGAAGCTTAAAAACAGACTGAGACACGCATCTACGTTTTCTTTTAGTAAATAGTTTGCAGCAAGAAAACGAGAAAAGGAGAGCTATACCACGAATCAGTTCCTCATAATAAGCATTCTGATCAAGACACGTAAAATTGTCCGCACAGGGATGAAACTGTTACACCAGAAAGAGAAAAAAAATGGGACTGAAAATGGCTTTTCAAAACTATAACCCTATCCATTGTTAGGGAGATAGGAACCAATTGTTTCTGAAGTAGGAACTTGTTTTATTCTTAAATGCAAGATAACGTAATACGCAATATGAACAAGAAAAAAAGCATGTTTGGATATGCTCCTCACAAACGGTTAAATTAACCTACGACATTTTTGACTTTTTATGTACTGCCTTTTGTAAATTTTCACGGCAGGGTATTACTTTTAAACAACCAAAATGATGCCGAGATATTTGCGAAACTCCGGACCGCAGGTGTCTGCGGTGTGGAACGAACACGCTATTACCATTTCCGGGGGCTAACGCGCTCACCACCACACCAGGCGGGTCCTTCGTTTTGCCTGTCTCTCAGCTAGTTCTATCCCGTTGACGGGTGATTGCTGATGGCAGTGATCAATAAGGCCCCGGTACCCGAAAAGGGTAATAGCATGTTCGTTCCCCACCGCAGCAGACACCTGCGGTCCGGAGTTTTGCAAACATCTCAGCATCATCGTGGTTGTTTCACAGCCTAGAACAGATCGCGTACGTTGAAAAATAGACCGTAAACGACAAGGATATAACTGCAGCTGTAAAGAAAAACAAATGACCGCACCGGATTGATCAAACATCAAGAGAAAGGGATTCCAGATGTCAATTTCCAGGTTCAAGAACCTCCATTTCGACCTTCCCCCACTAGTTTATCTTACTTCCCTCTACATTCAGTACCATTTCGAAGAAATACACTTCATACCACCGTTTTTTAAATTGTGGTCAAAGTGACATTCTCCAAATTACATGACTGTATCCATCCTCATCGTGTCTACATTTTCGGAAAGAAAAACAATTTTAATAGCACACTGAGAAATATCAACTTGACAGCTAAACGGTTATGCTACCTATCAGCGTATTGCTTAGTCAGTCGCATTTTCACATGCGAAAATCTGATTTTGCAGATAAGATACGGGAAAAAGGCAAATTTTGCATTCTGAACCCTGATAAAACAAATTTTTGCCCAGGAACCATATAACTAAATAGAATGTTCACTGACTGCGTTCGCCCAACCATCGTGGATGAAGCTAGTCGGCGTCTGTCCAGTAAACTTCACTGGAGCAGGATGACAGTTGCGGACGGAACGAACGAACGGAATCACAGCCTTTTTGAGCATCCCTAAAAACGCTGTCCAAGAATGGGAACACTTTCAAGAAAACGAGAAAAAAAAACATTGGTACAATAAAGATGAAACGATGCGTTTAGCAGTGGTAGACGAAATTGGTCGCTTATTATGAGGTGAAATCAGATATTAATGAGATATACAGTGAATGTTAAAAACACACAGAAGTGTAGCAAATTCCTCAAAAAAACCTCATTTACGAAGTCCACTGTGAAATGCGAAAGACTCGCTAGCAAAACTGTGGACTTCTTCAACTCCGACACTTACGTTATAAATCAAGTATTTCATATCCCAAAACAACATTAATTTTCAACGTCAATCCAAATTCACAATCAAATGGAAGGGTGGAAACAGCGGCGACCGACATCCATAGACACATCAATCCAGGAACTGCCCCCGACAGACTAACGTCTCTGTTTATCGCGTTTCGTTTTAAAGGACGGCCTAACGAACCTTTAATCTTGATTAGAGCAAATAATCTCGTGGTCATAAATTTGTCGTTTTCCTTCTCAGCAATCGCGAGATTGTTAAACAGCATACGTTCACTTCTATACAATAACACACAACCGTAGCTGACGTTATTGACCGCGTTATTATTCTATTTCTACCACCTTCCTTGACTACACTTTCTTCTACTAAAAAAACGAACTTAAAGAAAACGAAAAACAAATGCTCAACAAGGGGAAGACGTTCAGTATTGCAAACATATAAAGCACAAAAGGATAAAGCTCTCGACGTTTATCAATCCCTTAGGGATGCGCCATGCATTCAACTTCGTTAAGTATCGTTTAGAGATGGTCGAATGCATATCTGACCTTTATAATGACTTACGGTGGCCTACCGATGTATCGAGCCAGTGCTCCTATCCTCCAAGACAAGTCTGTTACCAATTTGCCGACCCCGGAGGGATGGAGGGCTTTGTGGGCCATGGCCTCGGTGATCGATTCCCGTGTGTGTTGCAGGGCGTCTGCGACCAGTGCGCCACACGCGCTTTTGCAAGCATATTTCAAGTCGTTATTGTGTCGATTTCAATATGGCCACATATGATTATTCTAGAAGATGACCTGTTCTAAAACGGATTAACTTAGCGATTAACTACTTTTCTGGACCAACTGATGTATGTATACTTCCATGACTACAGTACTAGCCATGTGTCGTTCAGTGTAGTGCGATCAAGCGACACTATTGCGTTCCGTGTCAAAGGTTCTATTTGTTTCAAAGTCAACCAAACCCTCTTTCGAAATTGGTCGCATTGGTAGATGAATAACAAATTCGACACTACCAGGCTAATTTGCTCAGCTTTATCTCTAACTTCTATGTTCTAAAAAGCCGCACTCGAATCTAGTAATTAACTTGCAAGTTCTAGAAAGCCCTAGACGAATCTACTGCTTAATTCCCAAGTTCGAAAAAGGGTGTAGTGATCTTTGACGATCTAAGCATACTTTTTGCAATGACACGAAATCACAATGTGGATGTCATGGAGTTCAATAGCCAGGGTTAGGACACTAAAGAGAGTAATCACTATGTTTAACTTTTATTTACTCCCAACTCTTTTTCGTCTTCATGGCAAGGTATTATGTAAAATACAACTCTTTGGGCTTCGAACCAGCGATTAACCTTTCCGGTAGCTCATGCGCTATCCACTCACACTAACCGAGGCCTTTGTCCTCATTCTCGTTGACGGATAATTGCTGACATCACGACTAGAGTATGAAAAACTGGCTGAAAGATAGTAAAATTAAAGGCCTGAGAGAATGTAGGGTAAGCAAGACTGATAATTTAATGTGACAAAGGCATATTGCCCACGCATGTGAACTCTACGCGGTTGGACGACACGTGAAGAACTCCGTGGAAAACTCGTAGAAATTGGTGAGTGTGCGAAGAAGCCATTTCGCTTTCAATGCAGTTGGATTCTTGGTTTGATAATTTCCTTTGTTTTGTTTGTGGAGGTGGTAGGCTAGGTAAATTGCAGTCAACTCGACCTTTTCAGACTTTGAGGAAGGCGAAATCCTCCGAAACGTCAGCTTATTTGTCAGTAAAGAATAGAGTAACAACGTCATTTTTCTTCATCAAGAGAACGATGAACTATAAAGTTTCATTCGTCAGAGCGACTGAGTATGCAATTCAACGCTACGTCTATTAATAGCGGAACAAAGCCAGTGGTGTCCGTTGTGGTCTAGTGGTTAGGATTTACGGCTCTCACCCGTAAGGCCCGGGTTCGATTCCCGGCAACGGAATACGTTTTGTGTCTGGATAAAGGAGCTATGGCACTGATTATCGGCATCCGAGTTCAATGTAGTATACATCGTAGTCACTGTCACCCCCAACTAACCTTCTAACTCGCATCTCCCTCCCTACTTAAACGCAACAAAGTCACTGTAGAAGTTTGACAGCACACTCGAAATTTCCGTCTATACTGGTTTAAAACAAACAGTAATTTTTTCGTAGTGTGATAGAAAACACGGAAGCCATTATGGACTTCATGAGCGGACAGCAAAAGAAAAGAAACGAATTCATCATGAATTGGACAAATGTTGACAATGATGACAACACAGAAAAGGAAGATGAATGAAAAGGAGAATAAAGTTCTGAGAAGTTTTGAATAGACTTTATGAGTTCAAGACACCATAAATTTGGTCTCTATACAACAACTGGAAAAGAAAACACCCCTAAACGTGTTTCTGCAGTTGATACACGCACCTCCATGGAAGTACCGTATTCCATCTACTTCCCTATGAGAATGTGAAAACAACTGGAGATTTTACTTGAGATTTCTCCCTAAGATAAAAAAAGAGAAAAAGAAAACAACATTGACGTAGAGTTCCTTCAAATCTAAGAGGAATTTCAACGATGGACAACAACAGCGGTGCGCTCCTTTATGTTTTGAATAAATGTGAGCATTGATGCTAAGAATTTCCTCGAAGAAACAATTCCATAAATATATTTTGTTCGACACGATGGAAATGCTTTCGAATGTTCTGCTAATGTTAACATGTTTAGAATATCTCACCTTCTAAGATAACTGAAAAGGTTTTCCCAATTATTGTCTTCTAGAACAAAGTTAAAGGCGCGTGTGGCACAGTGGTCGGAAGCGCCCTGCAGCACACACCTGGCATTGGTCCTCGCGCCTATGACCCACCAAGCCTTCATCACTCCGGGGTCGGCAAATTGGTACGAGACTTATCTGAGAGGATAACAGCATTGGCTCGATACGTCTGTAGGCCACCGCGAGCCATTGTAAAGGTCAGATATGCATTCAATCACCTCCAAACGATACTTAACGAAGTCGAATGCATGGCGCATTCCTCAGGGATGGATCAACGTCGAAAGCTTTATCCTTTTTTATTTTAAAGGAAAGTTAACTAGAGAAATCAAGTCTTATGTCATTGTACACTTAAGATATAGGCAAAACTCTGCCATGAAAAGTAAATATGCAGTAAGTAAAAGTCAAACATTGTGATTTCAACTGCGGCTCCACCTTAACTAGGTTCGATGCTGATTTGTGCTTCTCAGATGATTCCCGTTTAAGGGTGAGGGTGATAGCACCATTAGGGTAAAAAACTGGCCGAGAAAAAGCCAAGCAAAAGCTTCGATTGGAGTGGTGGATAGGACGCGAGCCATCCACAACGGTAACCGCGGGTTCGAAGCCCGCCTGAGGCTTCGAGTTTTGCCCATATCTCAGCATATCTCAGCATCATTGTGGTTGTACTTCACATAGTATCACGCCATGAAAAAAATTAAGGAGTAAGTGAAAGGTATTTTTTTTATTCATAAGTGAGAAAAAACTATTCTTTTTCACTTTTGCACAACATGCTCTACGGCGAAAACTATGTGCTCCAATACAACAGTTTGGTGAATGAAGCCAATAGCTGAACCCATAATGATGAGTGAAGTTTCCCATATAGCATCTCCAGGAGATGTCGATCTCTTTTGTACTGTTTAAAATGTTATTGTGTAAATATAAAGTACATGTATATTGTTTAGATATCTCTCGTAGAAAACAACACAAGTCAAGTTTTACAAGTTTAAGTGTGGGATTCACATTCGAAGGAAGAGCTTATCAGTGCGATTTAGCTAAGTTTTTACTACCAGATTCATGGAGTTGATAGTTTCCATGTTGTTGTAATAAAAACGAAGTTCTGATGGTCGGATAGAGAAGATCAAATAACCGAGGCCAGTCAAAAACAATTATAAACTTGATGAAGTATATGAAGAAAAGAAAGAAGAGACAGAGGAGTAGTGCGCAAGGCAGCTATCCAAAGAATTCCTACGGTATCCCGCCAACAATCGATCAATAACGAAGAAATTTTTTCATAACATAAACAGAAGCATATCCATTGTTTGGATCGAATTCCTCAATGGTTTTTCCTCTTCCGTTTTTTTTTGCAGATGTTTTTCATTAGTGATAAAGTTATCAACACATGGCTTCAACTTGTCGTTTTCCTTTCTTATCTTTGATTTTTTTCTTCGTTTCCATAGTTTCTTTTTCTTCTGAGAAGCAAATAAATTGGACACTGTCACCTGCATCACCTGTAGTCCCGTTGATCGCAGAGTGACTCGAGCGGCCGCCAGTAAATCTTCCAATTTTCACTGTTGCGTGCAAGAGTAGCCCAGTGGGTTCTGCTCGCTCTAGGGACTCGTCGAGCATCATATCTTTCTTTAAGGCTCTTTGTGAATAACTCTGACCATCGGGTCGGTGGTCTTCCTGCAGTACGTTTGACATCCCGAGGAATTATCGTTGACGCAAAATTGGACACTACGTAGAAAAATCTGTCCAAAGTAGTTCAAAGCGACTGTTTGTTCTGGTGAAAGCGATTACCAAAGTGTTTATCGTTTATTTACTGCCTATTCTTCTTTTCATGGCAGGGTATTGCGTGGAATACAACCGCAATGATGCCGAGATATTTACAAACCCAGACCTCAGGCCAGATTCGAACTCTCGATTACCTTCTTCAGGGGCACACATATTAGCCAAACACCATTGAGGTCTTCGC